TCATGGGGATGTGGCAGGAGTGTTCCATTCTGAAGCTGATGGAAAATTTTGGGTTCGATCCAAACCAGAATGGAAAGAAGAGAGAAGACCCGAAGGGGTCTCACAGCAGCTTACAGTCTCCTTTCCCTTCCCCCTGTGAGGTAGGTGGGGCTGAGAGAGCTCTCCCGAGGACTGCCCTTGGGAGAACAGCTCTGAAACAACTTGTGACTGACCCCAAGGTCACACCAGCGGCTGCATGTGGAGGAGTGGGGGGGGATCAAACCCGGTTCTCCCGGATTAGAGTCCGCGTTCCTAACTACTACGCCACACCCACCGTGAAATGAACGCGGCCTCTGACAGTTTGGTGTCGTGGTTAAGTGCGTGGACTCTAATCTGGGAGGACCGGGTTTGATTCCCCACTCCTCCACTTGCAGCTGCTGGGTGACCTTGGGTCAGGCACAAGTTCTCTCAGAGCTGTTCTCTCAGGAACACAGCAGGGAGGGGGGAGGGACAAACAGCAGGAGAGGCCTATTGCCTTCATACTTGTGGACTTCCTGAGAGTTTCTGACTGGCCACTGCTGGGAACAGAAGACCGGGTTTGTGATCTGATCCAATAAGACCACTCATGTTTTAATTGCCGTGCTTCCAGGAACCAAAAGATAGATCTGCTCTTGGCCTGCAGCGGGAGACGGACAAGGGTACAGCAAATCCCCAGGATCTCAACAAAGAGCAGTGACTCTAGGCAGGGGGAACTCTAGGCAGCAAAAGCAGCAGCTCAACGGCTCAGAGCCTGGTGGGGCCTCAAGCACAAGTTCTGCATGGTAGCCACTGCAGCTCTTCAGATGCTGCAAATACGTTCGGCAATGAGCGCCGTAGTTTGGAATCTCCAGACGCTGCAGCGCTGCAGCTCGGCTATTATCGGGAGCTAGATGGGGCACGTGAATTGCTCCCGTTCTGCAGACGCGCCCACCGGCTGCCCGTCAGTTACCGAACTCAATGTAAAGTATAGGCTATCACGTACAAAGCCCTTCACGGCCTTGGACCCTCATATCTCTCCCCCTGCGCTCTGCCACAACAGCCTCGCTCACTTGAGCAGGGTCTTCTGAAGGTGCCCACCTGCGAATGGGCAAAATCAACAACTGCCCGCACGGTGCCTTGTCTGTGGTGGCCCCCGCCTTGCGGAACGGCATGCTTGAGGAGGTCAGGAAGGCTCCAGCTCTCCTGGCCTTCCCCAAACTAGGCAAAACTGAATTATTCGAGAGAGCGTTTGGACGAAGGCAATAGGGTACCACTGTCCAAAAGGCTTCACAAAGTTACATGGATACATTATTGGGGACTCTGGTCTGCACTACTGTCTACTGATTGCTGCGGGCTGGCTGCTATGATGGAATTCTGCATCATTTCATGTTTCACGTTAACACTCATGCCTTGCTTCAGTTCTGTTTTTAGACTTCTGGTGGGTTCTGCAACTCAAACCCTATTTCAGTTGTTCACTGAATGTCCCATCCCTGAGTTGTAATTGTGTCGCCCTGTGTAATCTGTCTTGAGTCTTGATGCTTGGGGGGCAAGAGTGGGGGGGGGCTCCTGGAGTTCTGGCCCCACTGGTGAACCTTCTGGGGGCCCCTGGGTGGCCACTGTGTGACCCAGAGTGTTGGACTGGATGGGCCACTGGCCTGATCCAACACTGGCTCCTCTTAGGTTCTTATGTCTGAGGCAGTGATGGTCTGTATTCTTGGTGCTTGGGGGGGCAAGAGTGGGAGGGCTTCTGGAGCTCTGGCTCCACTGGTGGACCTCCTGATGGCAGCTGGGTTTTGGGCACTGTGTGACACAGAGGGTTGGACTGGGTGGGCCATTGGCCAGATCCAACATGGCTTCTCTTCCATTCTTATGTCTGAGGCAGTGATGCTCTGTATTCTTGGTGCATGGGGGGCAACTGTGGGAGGACTCCTGGAGTTCCAGCCCCGCAGGTGGACCTCCTGACGGCACCTGGGTTTTGGCCACTGTGTGACCCAGAGTGTTGGACTGGACGGGCCATTGGCCTGATCCAACAGGGCTTCTCTTCTGCTCTTACGTCTGGGGCAGTGATGCTCTGTAATCTTGGTACTTGGGGGGCAAGAGTGGGAGGGCTTCTGGAGTTCTAGCCCAGCTGGTGGACCTCCTGATGGCCCCTGGCTTTTGACCACTGTGTGAACCAGAGTGTTGGACTGGAAGGGCCACTGGCCTGATCCAACATGGCTTCTGTTAAGTTCTTAAGAGACCAAGTGAGAAAGGAGGACCACCAGTAATGTAAATAAATAAGCAGAATACATTTCTGTGACTTGTGCTCATGTTTAGGGAAACGACAATCGGGAAAGTGCCACTGCTCTTTATATTCTGATGCTTGAAATCCACAACAAAGCTGAGCTGACTTGCGTTCTTTCTCCAGGCATCGCTCTCCCAATCCCTATCCGTGGCCTCGGGGAAGGCGCCGCCACCCTCAGGAACTTCACCTGCGTGCTGACGCCAGACCGCTTCGGAGACTTCATCCTCTACGGCTCGGTGGCCGCCTTCTTCGTCCCACTGGCCATCATGGTCGTGACGTACTTCCTCACCATCCGGGTGCTGCGCAAGAAGGCCCACTTGATCAACAAGCTCCCGCAGCGCTTGAACTGGAGTACTGTCTCCACCGTCTTCCAGCGGGACGCGACGCCCGGATCGTCTCCGGAGAAGCTGGCCATGCTGAACGGCTCTAGGAAGGACAGGCCCGTGGCCAATGGCAACGAAGAGCTGCTCATGCGCAGGATGTCCACGGTCGGGAAGAAGTCGGTCCAGACCCTTACGAATGAACAACGGGCCTCTAAGGTCTTGGGGATTGTCTTCTTCCTCTTCTTGGTGATGTGGTGCCCGTTCTTCATCACCAACATCACTTCCGTCCTCTGCAAGTCCGCCTGCAGCGAGGGGTTCATCCAGAAGCTCATGGAGATATTTGTTTGGATAGGGTACGTTTCGTCTGGTGTGAACCCGCTGGTCTACACCCTTTTCAACAAGACCTTCAGGGAGGCGTTTGGCAGGTACATGACCTGCAATTACCGGACCTCGCTGCCTGTCCGGGGCCTTCGGAAATGCTCCAGCAGGCTCTCGTTCAGGAATTCCATGGCGGAGAACTCCAAGATTTTCATGATGCACCACGGGATTAACCCGGTCATGTACCAAAGCCCAATGAGACTCTCACCGATCCAGTCCTCATCGGCCATTCTCCTAGACACACTGCGGCTTACGGAGAACGAGATTGATAAGACAGAAGAACAAGTCAGCTATGTATAACAAAATGGGGGTGGGTGGGGGACCCCTAACCTGAACCCCATGTATCAGTATGTATATATGGTTTCCGTCCATTATTTATACAAGACCCGGTTCTAGTAACTCATCTCCTCTTCAGACAAGAGGTTCCTCTTGCCCCAGATCACCTTTCGAAATTAAGAGCTATTTATTCTGTTGCAAAAAAAAATACACATTGAAGCACTGTAGTAGTTTACAGACAGAGAGGTGGGGGTTCAAATAAAAACAGCCATGGCAAATCTCATGTTGCGGGCGCTGGATTCCCTCTCGTTGCTCTTCGAAATGCACATTTTGGCTCTTAAGGTCTGTTCATAATCATCAACTGAACGCCTCCAAGCTTTAGGAGGCTATCGTTCGTGACGATATTTTACATTAAAGCAAACTGCCTTCCTTTACAATCTAAGCTTGCTGAATTACCAATGCTTCAATCAAAGTATGCACAATGCGTGCACAAGAATATTCAGGTATTCCACAAGTGAATATGGGGTGTTTCCGTAAGTGTCAGCTCCAAATTCAGCTGCCACCGCCTTCTCCTCTGCCATTGGTCCCAAAGACACGCACCCTCCCCATCACAGATCCACTATCTGGTATCTGACACAAGGAATTTTAGCTCTCAAAAGCTGATGCCCTGAAAATCTCATTTGTCTATAACAGGGGTGGCCAAACTGCGGCTCAGGAGCCACATGCGGCTTTTTCACACATATTGTGTGGCTCCCGGCAGGACGGCTGGGGAAGCGAAGGGGAGGCACGCCTCCCCGATCAGTCTTCCCTTCCTCAGCCAATGTTTCCCTCCCTGGGTAGGCTTGAGGTGGGGGGAAGCAGAGAAAGAAAGCAACTTGAACTTTAAATCTGTTCTCAAAGCACTCCCTCGCCAGCTGGCTTGGAGAAGGCATTTGTCTCTTTAAATCCCTTCTCCAAGCCAAGCCAGCCAGTGTAGGGGCATGGGGGGGCTTGGAAGATGAAGTTGCTGGTCTATGACCGTAATAAAGGCTTGTTGTTGTTGTTGTTGTTATAAGTTGCTTTCTTTCCCCCCTCCCTTCCACCTTTCTTTCTCCCCTCCCTCCTCATCTAAAGTTAAATGTGTTCTCCGAGCCCCGTCACAACAGCAGACTGGCTCGGCTCGGAGAAGGCATCTGTCTCTTTAGTTTAATATGGAAATTTGCATATGTGTTCATGACTCGTGGCTCTCAAACATCTGACGCTTATTCTATGTGGTTCTTATGTTAAACAAGTTTGGCCACCTACGAGGTGCTACCACGCTTGGATCTAGCTGTTTTACTGCAAACCAACACAGCTCCCCTCTGAAACTATCAAAAATCCAGGGCCCTTAGAACTGCATAAGATGCGTGATTTATTTTTCTCTTGTCTACGGATGCTGAACTTCCTGCTCAGGCGGCTCACATTTCTACGTTCCGTTCCTGCTGCACGAGATCTCTCCAGATCGGCACTCGAGCCTGTCTGGTGCTTCTGGAACCTCACAAGTGGCAAAACCTATGCCCCGCCCATCTTTGCTTGCTGTGCCAACTCATCACAATCAAAAACCAGGTTTCCTCAGACTGCAGAATTCTGTTCTCTCTCCCTCCACCATAAAACATAATCCACGTATGTATGGGTGGGTCACGGCACAGAAGGAGCCTTAAAGTCCCTCCCCCAAATCCCCTCCCGGGCCAATCAGTGGAGACTTCTCAGACTGGGCCTGGCTTTTAGAATCACAGAGCTGGGAGGGGCCCTACAGGCCATCTAGTCCAACCCCCATGCGCCCTGCAGGATCAGCATAGAGCATCCCTGACCAGTCTTTGTCCAGCCGCTGCTTGAAGACTGCCAGGGAAGGGGAGCTCACCACCTCCCTGGGCAGCCGATCCCACTGTAACATCTTACTGTAAAAAAGTTTTCCCTAAGATCCAGCTGGTACCTTCCTGCCCGTAATTTAAACCCATTCTTGTGAGTCCTCTTCCCTGCTGCCAACAGGAACAGCTCCCTGCCCTCCTCCAAGTGACAGCCCTTCAAAGACTTCAAGAGGGCAATCGTGTCCCCATCGACCTCCTCTTCTCCAGACTGAACATTCCCAAGGACCTCACCCTTTCCTCACAGGGCTTGGTCTCCAGGCCTCCAATCATCCTCGTCGCTCTCCTCTGCACCCACTCCATTCTGTCCACATTTTCTCCATAGGTTCCCATTCTTGAAGAGCGCCCCATTGTTCCCAGCAGACTGACAACATTTCTGGGAAGCTACAAAACACAGCAGCCTAACTCTGCTTTCAGAGTCACTGGCTTCGCGTGGAACAGTTCATTTCACAGCATGGACCTAACAACAATCCCAATCACAATTTAGTAGGCCCTCGATCGTGTCCCACATTTCCTGAAGAAGAAGAGGTCCTACCCCTTTAGCCTACGGCTTCCTCAGTCACTGAAATCCCTGCATAGAAAGAAAACCTGTTCTTTTTTTTTCTTTTAAAGCAGATAGGGTGGTTATGAGATTTGCACTCATGTGACCAAATGAAACAGAGATCAACCAGAAGGAAATGCTTGGCTTTGCCCTATTTGCATAGCAGTTTGCACTAATTCTTCCCAGAAGGAAGATCAACTTCAAGAAAGAGAGTTAATTGCTCACTGACACCACTCTTCATATGCTGAAAACAAGGGGCAGATCTATGTACTACAAAAAAGAGTCTAGCGTCTTTCCTTCCTGTGAAGAAGGTTGTCCCCGTAGTGTTCACAACTGGGGACACAGGGCTGGATGCAAGGTCTTCCCTTCCACGAAGCCCTTCTCCTTTGAACAATGCCTTTGCCAAAGAGAGTTGCTTGACCCACTCAATAGTCAAAAATAGGCACCACTATTCACATCAGCAAAGCCCTGCTTGATCAGACCAGTAGTCCATCTAGTCCAGCATCCTGCCTCACACAGTGGCCAGCCAGTTCCTTTAGACAGCCAACAACAGGGCAGAGAGGCTAATGCCTTCATAACAACGTCAGAAGAGCCCTGCTGGATCAGACCAGTGGTCCCTCCAGTCCAGTCCTGCCTCACATAGTGGCCAACCAGTTCCTCTGGACAGCCAACATAAGGGCATAGAGGCTGAGGCCTTCATAAGAACATCAGAAGAGCCCTGCTGGATCTGACCAGTGGTCCATCTAGTCCAGCATCCTGTCTTACACAGTGGCCAACCAGTTCCTCTGGATGGCCAACAACAGGGCAGAGAGGCTGAGGCCTTCATAAGAACATCAGAAAAGCTGTGCTGGTTCAGACCAGTGGTCCACCTAGCCCAGTGTCCTGTCCCACATAATGGCTAGCCAGTTCATCCAGAGAGCCAACAAATGGGCATAGAGGAAAAAAACCTTCATGAGAACAGCCCTGCTGGATCATACCAGTGCTGCACCTACTCCAGCATCCCACCTCACACAGTGGCCAATCAATTCCTCTGGAAGTCCAACAACAGCATAGAGGCTGAGGCATTCATAAGAATTTTAAAAAGAGCCCTGCTGGGTCAGACCAGTGGTCCACCTAGTTCAGCATCCTGTCTCACACAGGTGGCCAACTAGTTCTTCTAGAGGTCCAAAAAGAGGGCACAGAGGCCAAAGGCCTTCCTCCAACGTTGCCTCCCAGCTCTGGGATTCAGAGGTTTAGCACCTCTGAACATTGGAGATTCCCCTCAGTCACCATGGCTGATGACCACTGATACACTTAGCCTCCATGAATCTGCCTAATCTTCTTTTAAAGTCATCTACAAGAACATCAGAAGGCCCCACTGCTGGACATCCTGGTGGCACCTGGTCTTTTTGGCCACTGTGGGACAGAGTGTTGGACTGGATGGGCCATTGGCCTGATCCAACACTGGCTTCTCTTATGTTCTTATAGATAGGAACTCTTAGTCTGGGGCAAGTGATGCTCTGTATTCTTGGTGCTGGGGGGGGCAGCAGTGGGAGGGCTTCTAGGGTCCTGGCCCCACTGCTGGACCTCCTGGTGGCACCTGGTCATTCTGGCCACTGTGTGACAGAGTGTTGGACTGGATGGGCCATTGGCCTGATCCAACAGGGCTTCCCTTATGTTCTTATATGGAGCAGAGGTCCATCAGTGGCTATTAGCAACAAGGTATAGATAGGAACTCTGGGTCTGGGGCAAGTGATGCTCTGTATTCTTGGTGCTTGGGGGGGGGCAACAGTGGGAGGGCTTCTAATGTCCTGGCCCCACTGGTGGACCTCCTAGTGGCACCTGGTATTTTTGGCCACCGTGTGACCCAGAGTGTTGGACTGGATGACCCGTTGGCCTGATCCAACTTTGGCTTCTCTTATGTTCTTATATGGAGCAGAGGTCCATCAGTGGCTATTAGCCACAAGGTATAGATAGGAACTCTTGGGCTGGGGCAAGTGATGCTCTGTATTCTTGGTGCTTGGGGGGGGGCAACAGTGGGAGGGCTTCTAGTGTCCTGGCCCCACTGGTGGACCTCCTGATGGCACCTGGTATTTTTGGCCACCGTGTGACCCAGAGTGTTGGACTGGATGGGCCTTTGGCCTGATCCAACATTGGCTTCTCTTATGTTCTTGTGATCATAAGTAGCACTTGGGGGCACCCCCCCCCACACACACACTTTAACCCTGCCTTCAGGAAGATGGAAAAAGAGAGGCGGACGGAGTGATGGCTTATAGCCAAGTTCCCAACTGTGGGACTGGATTTCTGGCATTTGGGAGGGGGGGGACTGCAGGTGCTAGGACTCCTGGAGGCACCCATCTGCTGGTGGCTGACCATCAGAGCAGCAGCCTGACCTGACCCAGGAACTCAGCAAGCAGCAGCTGGTGGAAGGAGGCAAACTCAGCAAACAGCAACAGAGTCTGCTAAGACTGATCTGGGCCAACGGGAGAGTTGGGGGTGGTGGCCTTGCTGATGGAAGGAGGTTGCAGCCATGGAGTTGTAACATTCAAGATCCAACCAGCCCAAGCCAAAGACTGCCACATTCAGGTGTGGGACAGCACACCGATAAGGCTCAAAAAGGT